GCAGCAGTAGTGGGGTATTGAACCTACAGGGCATCCTCGTCAGGACATTTTTCTGGGGCTTGTGCCTCCCCCTCCTCCTCTGCGGTGTGCCGCTGCTCTCCCCCTCAGAAAGCTCTCGTACGCGGACACATTGTTGAAGCATAACAACTCACCTCAATCTCCCAGAAAAGAGCCAAGCCTACAACTAGACTACAAGTTCCCTATTTACGTAACATCTTACTCACACACGATCTTTGGTTGCAGTCTCTCCTTTTATCACTAGATGGCGCCGAAACACAGATTATGTTCGGTAGCTTCTGTGTCTATACTGCTTAATCGTCTTAATAAAAGATGATTCCTTTCAACAGCACACGAATACATTGATAAATGATTATGGGTTTTTAAAGAGGGCGGACAAACAACTGAGCTGTTTTGTTTTTAGTGAATTGTTTGTTAATTTCGGATGTGTGCTCCGGAACCAATGTTCGTACATGTCCGCGGTAACACTACGATATAATTCGTCGACGGACTGTACACAAACCAACGTGTGTGAGCTGACAACTGTGTTGGATTAAACGTAAATATCAATTAATATCACAGCTTTAATGCCTTTCAAACTCTATTGAAAATAGTATGTAAGTAGCGAAATAGATGAATATTATCGCTCAAACTCAAACGGGCTTTTAAGAAGCTGCTTATTGCTGCCGCAGAGGACAAACACACATGACATTCAATTGTAAGTAATAACTATTGTTATTTAAAGCTGGACGGACGTGTAACACCAATTATTCCACAATGAGCTCCGTAGAAAAGACAGTTTTTTTATTTGGCTTTGAGGTTAAAATAAAATAATCGTGCTCCTGTTCAGCCTGAAAATATTTCCACTGCATTCTTCCTGGGAATTTTTATGTCTTTGCGTGTTGGATTTTCTTTTCAGGAGCACCCTCATTGCTGATGAAGTTCTGCACATTTGGTGGACGTCTCAGGTCTCTTTTCGTCAAACCCTCGGTCTGTTCTTTCACTACTTCCAGCAACATGGCCAAGAGCAAGTTTGAGTATGTCCGAAACTTTGAAACAGATGACACATGTCTCCGAAACTGCTACATTGTAGTGAGGCTGGATGGACGAAACTTCCACAAGTGAGTTTCCCTATTTTGAAGCAACACCTCTCATCTGTCTGAAGGCATTGATAATGTAGCCAATCTCTGGGCTGATGCATTATTATTAATGTGCCTTTTGTTTTCAGGTTTGCAGAGCAACACAAGTTCACAAAGCCCAATGATGACAGGGCGTTGGGCCTGATGACCCAGTGTGCGCGCTCCGTCATGGGAGAACTTGAGGATGTTGTCATTGCTTATGGTCAAACTGATGAGTTCAGCTTTGTTTTCAAGAGGACCACCACCTTGTTTAAGAGGAGAGCCAGGTACTGCTGTGAATCAGAATCACTCTCACATGCTCTTCCCCTGTGGTTGCGGTTTATCTGACTCTTTCTTCCTCTTTCTCTTCTGGCAGTAAGCTCATGACCCACGTGACCTCCCAGTTCTCTTCCTCATATGTGTTTTACTGGAAGGAGTTTTTTGGGGAACAGCCCCTCTTGTACCCCCCAGGCTTCGATGGACGTGTGGTCCTGTATCCTAGCAACCGCAACCTCCGAGACTATCTCAGCTGGAGGCAAGCAGACTGTAAGTAGATACTGTGCTCTAACACATTTGGCTTTTAGATAAACTGACGAGTGTAAATGATGTCAGACTGTATTTGTGTTTTTGTGTCTTTCAGGCCACGTTAATAATTTGTACAACACAGTGTTTTGGACGTTAGTACAAAGGGGAGGACTCACTACAACCCAGGCAGATGAACGCTTAAAGGTGAGAGCGAAACACAATTTTAACTTAACAAATACGCGTTTACATGCATAGATGCGTGTGTTTATGCAAATACACTAGTTTTTATTGTTATTCCTTTTGAATAACATGAGAAAATCTTCAAAAGATGATCAACAATTAATAAGGAGAACACACGTTAAGGGGTTTTAAAACCTGAACATATTTATTAAGACATTTACACTGCCTACTCATGTTAAGGCTTGACCCCTTAATGTGTGTCTTGGTAACTGGAATTGTATCCTGTGTTATGGATCATGCTTTCTGAATTAAATGTTGGGTAAGATAAGATAAGGTACATCTTATCTTATCATACGCAACATAACACAGTTACCAAGTTAGATACCAGAGTCACACATCAAGGGGTCAAGACTTAACAAAAATGAAACTTCCAACCTCTTTTACTTAAATTGTGAGTAAAAGATAGAATATTGTCACATCTTATTGAATGTTTCAGTCTTGCTGTAGATAAAATACAACTTCTACACAACAATTACTCTGTATACTGTGTTTTTATTTTTAAGCCACATTAAAGATGCATTTCCCTTACCTTGTGATGGACACCAACCATTCATTCATTTTCTGATTCATTTTCTGTATTGATTACTGGTGGTAACACAATCAATGGTTTAAGGCATTTATTAAATAAATAAATAAAATATTTGCTGCTTCAGCTTTGAAAATATGTGTAAGCTGTTCTCCAGTTTGTGTTATAAAGAGAATTCTTTCGGGTTTTTGACTGCTGGCAATATAAACAAAACAATGTTGCTGCATGTATAGTTGTGAGTAAATTTCATTGGCCCATTTTTTCTGTTTGTTCACATGATCACAACATTATTTACTTCTAGATTCTTCTCATTGGAGATGACAACATACTGTATATGGTTTCTAACACCACAAATCATTATTTTTTCCCTCTCAGCTATGGGTGTGATGGTCAAAATATGATCTCTAGATTCCGGTAAACATAATCATCTCATATTGACCCATTGCAGACATATTGGTATCAGTGTACATGTTACTCGATACGTGCCAATATGAAAATTTGTTCGTGGTAATATATTGGTATCACTGCAAAGTTTATCCAGCAGAGAGCATACTGTGGCAAGCAGTGCCAGTAAGAGAGAAGAAGCAGCTCTCTGCAATGTCAACTAGAATTGGTTGACAATGTATATATTAAATTATTTAACATGTTAAAGTATATTTAAGTTAAATATTAATATAAAGTTATTTGTTTAAGAATGCAGCCTTCTGGGTACTTTTGCATAGTCCTATTAAATTGGTGCACAGTCAACATAGAAAAAGTCTATTTTCATTCCAGTTCAATCATTCACTATATCAGCTGCCATATCTGTAATTGGTCTCAAAAATCCCTATCAGGCTCTAATAATGTCTATAGCCAAAAATAGATGTACTGAGAAATAATATGTCAAATTAAACAGAAGAGGTAACATCTCTCTACAGAACATCAGGTCTCTATTTGTGCCAGCTGCCGCTGACTGACACAGCTGTTCTCTGGAAGTCGCTTCATTGTCCAGTTGGCTGTGTGGGGAACTCTGATGAGGTGATGAAAGCTGATGAGTTGTGGAAATGTTCATTCTGGCTGAATGTTTGGGGAACATGAGTCATTCACAGCCCATCAAACAAACTTGTACTTCCTAGTTCCTTGATCACTTTAAAAACATTTCTTTGGAAAAACAGATCAAACACATCTTCCTTATATGTCATAGCATCAGTGGACTTCATAATTCAAACAACAAAACACTGAAAGAACCAGTGGGTGGTGTGGTCATTTTAGTGGTTTTATTTGCATCCATATCTCTAACTGTGTTGTGTCTCCCTCCAGGGAACATCAGCTGCGGACAAAAATGAGATCCTGTTCTCTGAGTTTGATATCAACTACAACAATGAATCTGCCCTCCATAAGAAAGGCACCACTCTCATCTGGGAAAAGGTGAGCTGCTACAAAGGGTTTGACTCTGCACAGTTATTACAGAGAAATTCACTTGGATAACTCCAACTCTGTTAGATATTTTTGTGTGTTTAAACCCTTTACTGCTCCCACTTCCACCTTAACTGTCTCATCTACTTTACTAGTGATATCTGACATGTTCCCTGCATGTCTTCTGCCTCAGCTTCTGTGTTTTGCAATGGGTTTCTTCCTTTATTCTTGACAAATATCAGCAGAAAATGTTGTGTCTAGAAACTCTTGTGTATACTAGGCTTTCGTTTTCAATTTCTGCTGGAACCAAAACTTGACATTAACTGTTGATGTTTTGGGAAGCTGAAATCTCAGATCAGAGTGGGTTCTGAATGCATCAACAGGTAGACTTCATAACAGGTCCCTAGTTAAATACTAGTTTGGTATTTCCCAAATTTCCAAATCATTTGTTGACCTATTCCTTGGTTAATTTTACCAATAATATTTCTCTTTCTTTTTCTCCAGCGAGATGAAACTGTCACTAAACGCAAAAAGCTACCAAATGAAGAGGAAAAGGACGTGCCTGTGACCCGCAGC